ACTACGCTGGGCGTGAAAGATTTGTTCGATTCACTGGTGTATCTACGGACTTTTCTACGAATGCCGCAATTGATGACGTTTCGCTCCCGCAGAGAGCTATCGTTAAAGAGAAAAGACCGATAACTACTGAGTTTGCGCCAATAAGGAGGCATTCTACACTCAGAAAACAAGACGAAGAAGCATCTAGAGCTAGACGAAAATACGTCGACAGCACGAAAGTTCGATTTGAAGCTAAATATAGCGACAAACAACGGAAGAAGTACATAGCAACTCCGTCAATAAAGCGCATGCGTCAGATCAAGAACTCGATGTCCAACATGTCCGAAACCGATCTTCAATCCAGCTTAGCAAGTTTAAGTGGATATGAGTTTGAAACACAGCAACACAAAGCGCCTCATTTTACAAATTACAGCGATCCCATGCGGTCAGCAGGATTCAGACAAGTTTTGACTGGTAAAGGCAAGAGAACGCGCACGTACTCCCTCGACAGAAGCGAAAAATACAAACCTGCTACAAGGGCATTCATGGAGAAACGGTTCAGCATAGATAGTGATAAAGCCATAAGGAATGGAAACAAAATGTAGCAGTCTATGTGCAGGAACAGCCGCTATTCAACCACAGCTGAACATTCGCCAACGGTCAGCTCCTGTACTGTACACGGACACTTATTCATGGTCCCAGCCAGATAAGAGTACTGCATTTATAACCTCCCCTAGTCGGGTCCCACACCTCTCCAAAGCGTTAGCTGACACTTTCCTTTGTCGCCAGCAAATCCGCATATGGGAGGTCCGATCTGATTTTTTGGCTGGCTAAACTTGAGTTCTTAAACTTCTGTACAATAACTATAAGTTGTTCAGTTCGTCTCAGATCGACAAAGATCTAAGAATTTTAGTGAGCTAGCCCACGTCCTGAGAGACTCAGTCTGCTATTCGAAACCCTTTTTCCACGTAGCTCTACAGAGATGCAAGAGCTGTATCCGATTGCTTGTTACTTGCGCGCGAAAATTCAAACTCGAGGAACAAACAATCAGAGACGCTACGCGGATCTCCTTAAAGCTACGTCATCAGAATGGAATTTTTAGAGTCCCGTGTCAGACGTGTCTTGAGCTAGGGAAGAAGACGAATGTCAACTTTATCTCGACAACTAAGCTTTTACTCTTTATTTACACTGTATATATAGATAAGTGTTTCAATTTTTTGCACATAATTATAACGTTTTGTGATGAATCTTATTTCGGAAACACTGTTATTCGTCGTCAGCTACATTAAATGAACAATGTTACTACAAATCTCTTGAATGTTTCGAAGATATGATAGCTAGACGATTGACATTGCAAAAGCCAAGTATCTTAAAGTTTCCCCTTAAAAGAGGCGGTCATGTTTAAGCTTTAGTCGTCAAAAAGTTGTTTAGAAAGGACCATTCTACGGTTCTTCCAACCACATTTTTTTTTAATCTGTTGTCTAAGTTTGTGACAAGGCTGGAAAGAGCACCTTGCAATATTGCACACTGGCTACGCTTCCTGTTGTCATGCTGGCAAATAGTGAAAATGTGGTTATACGGAGTCATAAAATGTTACCAGACGTTTGTATACATTTGGCATAAATTTGCCCGCACCCTCCCCCCAGCATACAAAGGTCTGTAAAACTCTTCGCCTTTGAGAAGCTATGTCTCACAATCTTTGCCATTTTACTAACATTAAAGTGCTCTGTCGATATTGACCATTTTACCTACTTGGGCAAGGTAATTGAGTTAAAAAACAAACAAACAAAAAAGCACTGAAAGGTATGTTGGGCGTGGGGTGAGGCACATGTTTAGCACCTGAAGCTATATCTACTGAAAAACTGTCAGCTGCATGGGTTGTTGACCAACCGTTAGGTCAAGATGCCTGGATCGGATTTTGGCCAAGTTCTTGTTTGGCTTGTTTACGGACCAAGACAGAGTCGAAGTCCATAAACACGCAAAAGAAAAGAACAAGCTTGGTCAATAAAGAATGTATTTATATATGGAAAAAAGAACACTATTTCCTTGCGGGATACAGCGGAATTGAAAATCCCAAGCTGACAAGATAGTGCCATCTTGCCGGCTCAGGTAGCCAATCTCAGCGCAGGATTCGGTTCATCTTACCCATTCACGGAGCTAACCATAAAATAAGACGTCTTGTGGAAGAACAAAACTGATTTCAAAGTTTGATGGGAGTTTGTCACCAAACACTGCAGTGTGATGACATTAGTTTCGGTCATCAGTCGTTCCAGCCCATACGATAGAGGTGTAAGGCTTTCGCATCATTCCTTTTTTCCAAGTCAGTTGTTTTCTTAGCCGCTTAATGTACATGGTAAATGTCGAATAATACGATCCCACGAAATGGTCAGCATGCGCACAAATGAGCTGCTCACACAAGCCTAACATGTCCTGAGTGACAGCAGGGCTTACGTTTCCAAGTCGCAACTGATCACTGAAGTCTTCAGCGAAAAATAAATTGTACCCTGCGTCACTAAATGGTTTAAACCAAGTTTTGTCTTCTTCGTCGGTGGCAATGTAAAGAGTTTTTGTTAAATTCACTGCATCTCGCATGTTTAGTTGCTGTAACCAATACTCCTGTTTCATGTGAAAACTTGTCGGATGATCGGTCCTGCGCACGTGCAATGCATTAAAAGGGTGACCCATCATTTTCAGGACATCCGCGACACGTTGTCGAATGTCCGGCGCGAAACGAATGTATCGCATTATCCACGCATGCGTGTTTAAAACGGTTGTCTTATCGAAGAAAAGAAGCTCTCCAATATACAAAGATCCTTCAGAGAAATACAGCATATCTTCCGTTCTGTTTGACAACTCATTCCAGATTCCCCACACAGGCCTAAAACTTGTGTTGCCATAATGTTTCAATTCTGTTTTGCAAATGCGGCGATAGAGTGGAAGGTCTCCATAGATGGGTCGATTTTCCATATGTCGCTGAAGGAGTTTCGATTTTTCTCCCTCTGTCTCCTTAGGAATGGTATCAACCCATATTCCTACCATCCCGTTGTGACAAACTCGATGCCATCTCAAATGTTTGTATTTCTCTAGAAACTCCACATGACTTGAAGTGACCTCTTTGACAGGAGTAAGTCTCGACAATTCTTTTAAGTCAATTACTTTAGATAATGGCAGAAGATTGACTTCAGGAAGCATGTTGTATATTTCATAACTTGCAGACATTTTACGCTTTCTTTTCAGTCGAAGTATTTCCTGGTGAGGTGCTAAAGGG